GAGTTTTCACATTAACAACTCGGATTTTGTTATCCTCACCATAATAAACATCTATAATTCTGCCCATTGTCCATTTGTAAGGCAGTAAATTTTCTTCTATTAAAAGCACCAAATCACCAATTTTTACATTACTTTCTTCAAACATCCATTTGTTATGTTGTTGAACCTGGTTTAAATAACTATTCTGTCAAAATTTCTACATTAGTTGAACAATTCTAGTAATTTTTTGCCATTTTGTAAGATTACTCTCTTAAGTTTGTTAAGTCAGGTTCAACAGTGGCATTCAAAGATCTATTAATCAAGGATTTTGGGGAAATAAATTTCCAGTTGATGCCCTTTGTCGCTAAATATCCAGCTAATTGGTTATCTGGGTTTTTTACCATATCATGAAGTTTTTAAATTTGTCTCTTGGCATTATCTAAAAAAAAAGTTTATCACTTTTACCTCTTCTAGTCATAAACCTATTTAACGTAGCTATAAATGCTTCAGATGTTAAATCGGACAAAATTTTTACATGCATAGCTTTAAATACAAAATATACAAACAAATACTATCTGTAAAGCTCCTTTGCATTATCCTTTGTTTTTTTAATGAAGAAAGGACTGCAAAAATCCACCTTGCATCATTTTTTAGACTGTGGATGAATCTGAAAAGATATTTCATGACATTTAAAATTTTAGTATACTTAATAGTTACATAATGTAACTGTTGAAAAAATGTTTTTAGAGTCACAGTTAATACAGATAAATCACATTATTCTGAGTGTCTGATGTAATCTTGTCCCTTATGACTGATGCAGGAATTTCACGATTGGGATAATCTTTCTCAGTCAGGAAAATAGGTCCTTAGAACCACAGTTTATTGTCCGGCAGTTTCTGAGGATTTACCTCTCTTGAAACCACATCAGTGGGATTGTTCTCAGAAGCTATGTGACGTCATTGATGAACCTTTGTCAAGTCGTGTATAGTTTTAAAGTAGCTCTTTCCGGATCCATGAAAGGACAATCATTGAGTTGCTTCATAAGAAGATGCCAGCTATCTTAAGTTCTAAGGTACTCTCCACTTATCATCCTCCACTTATCTAAGGTAATCTCCACTAGTGGTACTATATAGTTATCATTCTGGCTAAAAGAATGGCTGCACATAACTCCAACCTAGGTATTGTGGCACTCTTCAGTAGTGATACACGTGATTTCACTTCAAAGTACTAAGTTCCACAAACTAAGTTCATTTCAAAGGCTCCATTTTGCGAAATTGATTTGCAATAAATGACACATCCATAAGCTGCTTTGGAAGCATCTGCAAATCCGTGAAGCTCAATATGCACTGGATTTTTAATGAGTATGCATCTCTTTACGCTTATATTGTTTATCGCTGGCAAAGAATCAAAGAAGTTTTTCCACTGTTGTGCCTCTGTTTCAGGAAATGGATCATTCCAATCTACTTTTAAACACCACAGTTTTCCAGGAAGATTTTTGCTTTTGTTACTATAGGACACAAGATTCCAAGAGGGTCGAAAATGCGGGCGATAGTTGAAACCATTATTTTCTTAGTAGGGGTAACCATGATACATCTAAATTTGGAAAGCAAAATGGTCAGTCTTAGGTTTCTACATAACATCTAATGTTTTTGGTTCTTTTGTTTCTTCTTGAAAATTTAGACATAGTCGGAGTCTGCAACTTAGGATTCTTTCTGTGCCTCTTATGTAGCATCATACCTCCAATATCAAGAGCTTTTGATAATTCTGCTTGCAGTTGTTTAGCTCCTCTCAGCATATTCACACCACTCAAAGTATTATCCATATAGAAATGTTTTTCTAAAACTGGAGATTCTAAAGGAAAGCTTTTAGATTTATCTCTCAGAAGTTGAAGGAGAACACTTGTTGCTAAATATGGTGTTAACACTGTCCCAGAGGTTACAGTTTTGAGCATGTTAGTCTTAACTGGATCATTTACTCCCTCCCACCAAAGAATTCTCAAAAGTTTAGTTTAACTTGGGTCAATTACTATCATTCTATACATCTATTTGATATCTGCCACGAATGCATAAATATGTTTATGAAATCGCGTCATTATCTTAAATAAATCATCCTGAATAACCCCACCATTATATTGTAAAGAGAATTCACTAAGGTTATTTGAGAGGAAGCATGAAAAACATGAAGTTTTTTAGTAATTTTATCTGGGTGATAAATTCCCAAATGTGGTGTATAGTATGTCTCTTCTTCTTCCTCACACTCCGAAATTTCTGTCGTATGACCCTGTTTTTCATACTCATGTAAAAAAATCCCTATATAATTCTAAATACTCAGGCTCTTTTACGAAATGCTTCCACAGCAAGTTAAATTTTTTAAGGGCAAAATCTTTCGATTTCCTCGAGCACCTGGGATCGTCTTTTACTAGCATTTTTACTATATATATCTTCCTGTTTCATCTCTTTTTAACATTTTCCTCAAATTATTGTTTTGCTATTTTTTGGTACCTCAATCTGCACATTTTCAATTTCCCAAAATTTCTCTAAAGTTTTGTTTAGACCAGTATTATCCTCAATGAAACTACAGTGTACTCTTCCCTGATTTTCAATGGGAACACTTCCACTAGCTACGTATCCAAAAACTGTATTTTGAAAAATCAAATTACTATTAGATGAATATACCTGACCTAGCCTCAATAATTTATAAAAAAAAAAAATCTGTACGTACACACATATGATCTGGCATATTAGAATTTCCATCTGCAAGTTTTATATAATTTATCTGTAGGACATTAAATCTTTAACACTTTAGAGGACATAAAATCCGTAATTTTAGACACTAATTCTCCTTGCAGATTAGTGTCTTGGGACCCTCAAAATTAGAAATTGTCGCATTAACCAAAAAATTAATTCTTGTGGATGTATTTCTGATACCACAAACTATTAATTTCCTTTTTTAAATTAATGCAGTTTGCACAATCAGCGGTCATGTAATTATTCATCGCACCTTGATCTAATATGCTATAGAAATAAATATAGCATATGCTATATTTATTTCCTCCATCATCTTTTAATAAACAATTCACAGTAGGAAAAAATTTTTTCCTCATTAATTACCCATGATGAAAGAACAGAATTGTTTTATTTATTTGCTGTTAAAGTAGAAACATGAGCTTCAAACACTGACGCCAACAGTGAAAGAGAAGATTCATTTATTCTTGGGGAGGGGAGATGGACTTCTGACCACCAGTATTATTTATTACATTTTCATTTTGAAATGTATTTGAATTCCTGGGATAATGCAAAGAAAAATGATGATGGCTATCTTTTCTATCCCATTTGCATAAAGAGTAAGAAAACTGTGATTTACAATTATTAAGCAGATGTTTTCCCAAACAACTAAAACAATGATTATTTTTCTTAATTACTTCCAACTCTTTCAGAAATAGGCAATGATGTATATTTTTTACATTTATGTAAAGGATAATTTTTGGAACATAAGATACTCTTTAAACTCTTACTATCTGCTAGAAATATTCTAAACGCATTTCTTGTATCAGAGAATTTATGATTATTTACATCCCTTAAGGGTTTTCCCTGTGATAAAAAAAAAAAAAAATAAATTGCTTCTTTACCCAAGGATATGCTATCAAACCAGTTACTAGATTGTCTAACATTAATATGAGACAATGTTTCCTTGTCTAATGTTTGAAATAATTCGTCTATTAATTGTTTTAACTTTTCAAAATCTGAGACTTCTCTTAATTTTAGATAATAATCAAGGCTCATTGTCAATCATGATGCAAACTGAACATGGGTTTCATTTCCTTGTCTAATTATTTTTCTGAATTGCTCCAAACATAATTGAGGGGTTGGTTCAAATGGGTTGGTTCAAATTCCCTTAATACTATTTTCTTTTTCATAATCACACAACTCATTATCGTTTATATAAGAAATTACATTTGAAGCTTTTTCATAGTAAATTTAAGAAAATTTCACCTTTATATATATCGGATACAGTTTTTGTTTCAGAGGATCTTTCCAAGGAAGCAAAAAATAGACCCCATTCTTCTGGATGACTCGAAATTCACATTGTTAAAGTTTTTATACTTTTTGTTAGCAATTCTAGAGGATCACCTTTCTCAAGTTTAGTTTTTAATTCTTCATTAGAATTTGAAACTGTTCGCATGCGTGACAGCGCAAATGCCTCTAATTCTTTTCCCCAGTCCTCGATTATACCCTCTATGAGATTAGAAACGAATTCAGGTTCTTCTTTAAATTTATCACTACTCCTCATAATTCTCCTCATTTATGAGATCTGTAACCGTCATTTTATCTGTTATTACCTCTCCTAACTCTGTTGCAGCAAGCTGCAAATAAATTTTTCTAGAATTTTTAAACATTTAAAAAACACCACACAATTAAGACTTACATAAATTAAGACTTAATTAATAAAAAAATAATAACAAATATTATTTTATGGGAGTAAATGATTAGAAAAAACTCAGTGCACCTACTACTTCATTACATTGATTATTAATCTGATACATTGCTTGTCTTCGATGTCACCACATCGAGCAAAAACAAAAATAAAAGTTAATTTGAATACATCACAGATATCCATAGATTTCTTGATCACTGCTTTGGTCACACTGATCATAAAGTTAATTAAGGAATCATTTCACCACACAAGTGGACTGTAATATAATTTATTTTCATTTTACATAGCACTAAGTACTATAGCTTTGCACTAAAGAGACGAAAATACATGTCACACTGACATAGCTTTTGTTCGCACATTTACTCTAACTAGTTGGCGCTGTTGTTACACAATAACAGACACCTTCTAATGGCATTTTATGATGCTTGACTACAAATAAATGCATAGATGTAGAAAACAGTCAGTATCCACATTCATTTAGGATATTATATTATTAATATGTGTGAATTTAGTAAAAATCTTTACAGACTGTTTACATATGCAATATTTAATCATTTTCTACATGAGTATTTGTTTTATTTTTATAGAAGGTCGAAATTTGATCCTCTATGGAATGATTTTGTTGTTGGTGGTATGCAAGATGGAAAACCGTAAGTTTTAACTGTATTTTAAATTGCCATATTTAAAAAAAATTGCAGAAGTTTATGGAGATACTATGCTAATGTACTATTTTGCTTCTGATGTAAATGCTCTTAGTTTTCCCAGTGAAAAACACTAGTGCTTTTTATTTTGTAATAATTTTATAATCTAAATTCTTATACTAGAGATGAGCATTTAAAAAAAAAATTTTAAATATAAGCAGAATGCAGGAAAAATTTCTTTTTGTTGTATTTATATTTCATATTAAAATGTTAAAGAATATTTTATTTGAGGTCTTTTAACAAGTTTTGCTATTATATCCAGATGTAAACATTTTTTCTAATTTTTGTGAATTCAGCAAATGCTCATTGTTTTCATCACAAGTGAATTTCAGTAAGTGAATGTTTAAATGTGAAGTTTTGCCTTGTATATTTAATTTCTCTATCTTCCAAATGATTTCTCAATCGGTTATCAAAGGCAGCTGAGCTCTAAGCATCAGTGTATGTTTACTATATGCAAAAACAGAGGAGGAAATGCATCTAATTTTTGTATTCAGATTCTGTTTTGATATCTGAAATGATTTGAAGTTACACAGTTACAATAGGCCTCCTAATTTAAATACTGTGTCCCAGAAATTTTATATCATGTATAAAATATAAAGCATAAAAATCATGTATTTAAAACAAACTGTACATAAAAAAGCTGTGCTAAATATTTTTAAAAATACTCTCCTAGAGATTAATGCCATTGAGGAGACATATTTAATAATGCAGTACAAAGTCCGTAATCCGGACTCGTCGGGACTTTGGCGATTTTGGATTAGGGGTTTTTCCGGATTATAGATCATCAATTTAAATCTGGTAAGATGGCATGCAAAAATTATACAATGAAAAATATGAAATCATAATTTATGAAATAAAGAACAATTATGATCCTAAAGGGTATCAAAATTTACAAAAAAAAAAAAAAAAAAAAAAAGCTTCATATTTATTTGTTTACTTTATTAAACATTTCTTTCAAGTTAGTTGCTTAAGTTTTTAAGTTCTTCAATGTAAGTTGCTTCGTTTTTTGTGTTAATACTTTCTCTTTAATTCTATACACAGACATAATTTCTTGTTCAGTTACAAAGTTCCACTGTTTAAGTCCTGTAATTGCTGTGTCAAGAATACCGCCTAACTTGTCAATCGAAATTTTTTTGTTTTTGTTTCGTCTCTGTCACATTCTTCACTATTGGAAGCCCACATGGGTGAAAGCTTTACGCGCATGCGTAGCACACGCGCATTAAATACGCATGCGTAACTTTGTGGCTTTGAGGTCCGGATTATAGATCATTCCGGATTACAGACTTTGTACTGTATTTAATTTAAGACACAGCTACACATTTTTCATTGGATCAGATGTATTCGAGGCTGAAGTATATCCTGCAACATTTTCTGGTACTGTTCTGTTATCAGAACAGGACTCAGAAATGACTGTATGTATGCATGTGTGTAAATATGTTTTCATGTATGTATGCATGTGTGTAAATATGTTTTCATGTATGTATGTATGTGTGTGTATACATGCACATATGCACATACATACATTTCTGAATCTGGTCCTTATAACAGAAGAGTACCTAATTCCTATCTCAAAATGCATCCAATTTTAAATAAGATTATATATTATAAGGGTCAACAAATAAAGATGTGCAGACAAATAAATGCCCGAGTTCTAAAGCCCATGGAAACCAATTCTCAAATTTTAAAAATATTTTTAACAAACAAATGTTTTATTTGGCAAAAATCACTCAAATAACTAGACTGTGAAGGCCTACTTATTGGGAAATGTTTAATCAAAAGCAGAAACCTTCTGTTTTTCCTCTGATATATGAAATGTATTTATCAACAATGTTTAGCTACTTCTTGCCTTATTTATTTGACAGACATTTCTTGCTATACAATTCTTTCATCCATACAATGAATAAAATCATCAAGCTAGCAATGAAAGTGATATCTCTCTTGGGTAGCCAACAGCTGATATGGACATAGTTCCTGTTATTTATTTGAAGAATCAGTGCAGAATTTTAAATGAATGAAGAATTTAACTTCCATGAATAGCTTGTGTGGATAATTTGCATTAAGAGTATTTTTCAGAGAAGTTCAGAATGCATTAACTCGGCATGATTTGAAATAAAGTTAGCTGGGATTGTTTTATTTAACAATGATAAAAAAATGTATATTAAAAATAGTATACAACATAGCATGGCATAGTTTAGCAAATTTTGTATGTTTTTTTTTTTTTTTTTAAACATAAAGTACTTATATCTAATTAAGACACAATAACACGCCAAATAAATACTAATTCAGAAGTCAGACAACAAAAATCAGCGTTATATTTTCAAACTTGTCAAATCACGTCTTGTCAAGGCTGGCCTTTCATCTAATAAAGGCATGTTTGGAATGATAGTTCATATTGTGAAATATCTTGTTTATTTGCAGTTTTGCAGCTGAGGATGGTGGTTCGGTAAAACCATCAAAACTAGTCCTGTGAAAAGTTTGAAAATATAACGCTGATTTTTGTTTTTTGACTTCGTAATTAGTACTTATTTCTATTCAAAACTGAATGTTGACCTTAATCTTACATTCATTCTTAAATGTGTAACATGCCCGTAATTGGAGTTTTACAGTTCATGATATTTCATAAATGTTAGAGAATAATAAAGTGAACCAATTATTTCTTAGAATGCTAATAAACACTGATACTGTGCATGGGTTCTTAAAGATCAGCACTTCTACAGACTAGCAAAATTCATGAGACTAAAAGACTATATTAAATCTGCAGAATCATCTGAAGTTTTAATGGTTTACAACAGGAATGGCCAACATTTTTTGGGAAGAACGACCACTATCTGGGGGGGGGGGAAGAGTTTTGCGTGCCACTGAACAAATTTTCCAACATACTAAAAAATATAAAACTGTGAAAAAAGTTATTTATAAACTGATTACGGAATTTTTATGCAAATAGCACATTTTTTTTATGTAAGTGTGAATAATGGACATATAAAAAAGATTATAATAAATGAAATAAATGTACAAACTAGGGTTTTATTATTAATAAACATTTTTAAAGGTTCAGTCAGTTATGTATGAAATAAAAATGATTAATTCAAAAAATTTAATTCTAAATAGCTATTAAACAGCCAGTACTTAGTTATTGTGGTTTTTGAATATGTAGTTTTTTTTTTATTAAGTCATTAGGATTATTTCTTGAAGATGCTAACAAAGTTAGGTGTTTTAGCTGCATATCAGTTAATCTTGAACGATATTTTGATTTTATTATGTTCACAAACATCTACGACAATACCTGACAGTCAAATCATGTAAATTTAGAAAATTGTTTGTTGGTACAAATTTCTAAAATTCAATATAATTTGGATCACTTGCAGTTGAAATAAGTTTTCTATATCTGCTTTTCAGTGTTGTATGCTTCTGTAGGACAATAATTTCGATATGGATTTCAGTTGGGTAAACGTCTTGCAGAAAAGTGGAATTATTATATTTATTCAAACGTGTTTATGTGTGGGGAGTTGATACAGGCAATATTATTATTTTTTCAAATCTTTTAATTCACTAAGTCTTCATGTACCACTGTTAAAACTTCTCTGTGCCACACCATGGCATGTGTGCCATGGATTGGCCATCCCTGGTTTACCTGGTAGACTTGCAGGAGACTGAAACTTCAGATCATATTTTGTAGACTAAAAATTTAATATTACTTTCCTTGCAAGTAACTGCACACATGTAAAAAAATTACTACCACCTAAAAATTCTGAGATTTGATAAAATTTTGAAAAATTCAACTAACATATATTAGTAACAAAGAGTTTTAAAAATATTTATCCAAAATGGATTTCGGCTTTGTATTTACAAAAGTATTTGCAAGATAAATTAATACATTTAACATGATAATAAATCATTTCATATTTCGGGTAGCATAGAGTTTTTATACGTATTTTATATATTTTGGAGTATAATTGTTGCCTAACAGTTTTTTGAATATCAACTGTTGTAAATTAAAATCAGGGAATCTTAGGAATCAATAAATTAAGCAAAAACAAACTGAGCTTATTTCTGCATCCATCCATTTAATGATTGGCTAAAAATACTTGTTATCAACGAAAAATAAATTTTCATAAAGTAATGAATATTCAGTGTTACTTATTTAGTGTATCTTAGATTCATGTAGTTGTTATATCTAGGTAATGTTTGTCTGTATTTTTAGTTTCTTAGGATTTGTAGATAAAATTGGAACATCTTTTGAAAGCCCAACAATTGCAACTGGGTATGGAGCTTACCTGGCTCAGGTGAATTTTTTTTCAATTGCTATTATTTTTTATTTTTGGTTTACCTGCTTTTTATACTCTAAAAACTCCTACATCATTTTGAGATAGCAGCAACAAGCACAAAATTAGTATTTTTTATTTTATTTTCTTTCATTATTGTTTAATTTTAGATATAAATATTGGCAGAATTATCATATTTCTTATTACATGATTCATTTACATTCTTGTTGCTGCTTATTTCTGATTCTTTATTAATATCTGTAGGCTCAAAGCTACTACCTTCAAAATTATTATAATCAACAAATAAAAGGATTTATTAAAATATAAACAAGTTAGTCAGCTAACTTTCATGAGAGAAACCATTTAACTGTGATGCCTTTACAGAACATAAATTATGCTAAAAGTTATGCATAATTTATGTTTCCTAAGGCATCCCAGTTAAATGGTTTCTGTCATGAAAGTATGAATGGCTTATTCACGTCGAACCACTCTTATTAAGGTATACAACTGGCTGTTTTTATCATATCATCCATAACATAATAAGTACTTTATCTAATAAAACTCAGCCAACTTCTAGCAAAATGTAATGTGTTTGTTCCTGGAGTATGATGATGACATGCTGCTTGAATACTTGTGATTAATAAATGATCATTTATTGTAAGGAAGAGAAGTTTTGTGACATTACAAAGTTTAAAGTTTTAGATATATAAACTTAAAAATATTTTATAATAATTTGTGAGGCCTCAGTAACATACCCAATTCTATGAATTGTAAATAAAGTTATAGCTGTGTGGTAGATGAATTAGTGACTGTAATTGAACATTTAAATTTTACAACAGAAGTATGCTAATCCAAGAGTAACTTATTGTAATAATGTTCCAAACTTGGGAGAGGAGGAAGCAAAAGTAAATTTTTTCTTCTTTCTTTCTCTCTCTCTCTCTCTCTCTTTTTTTTTTTTTTTTTAAACAGAGATATTGATTTGCATCTACAGAAGATGACTGAATGGATTTTTCTGAGCTGTTCTAATAAAAATAGCATGCTAATCTTCGTTTGCTTCTACAGGTTAAAACTGTGATATTATTATAATAAGAAATTATTAATATTTAGTAATTTCTTATGGATTAATTCCATAGTACACAGTCAAGAATATATGAAAACTACTTTTACAGTCTTCCAATTTAAGTAGTTAAAAAAAAAATCTTCCCATTGTAAACATTAAGCCAATAGTTAATATTTCTAGTATTACTTTATCAGAAGAACAACAGAGAATTCTAAAATATAATTTTAACTTCTCACAAACTTCTAAACCCTCGATTCCAAAGATTTTGGCTCTTATCGAAAAAGCTTTCAGGTTCAGTAAAGTTTCTGATTCACAGAAAGAAATGATTAGGCATCTTATCGCTCATAATGTGAAATTCAATAATAAGCCTTTAAAACCAAATCTAAATGCGAGAGAAAGAGCTACAATGAGTGAAATTCATTCTAACCCAGATATTATCATTCCAAAATCTGACAAAGGTGGCCAGATAGCAGATAGTCGTCATGGATAAAACCACTTACATCGATGGTGTCACTTAACTCTTAAACGAAGGACCATATAATCCGATCCGTAAAGATCCATCACCTTCGGACCTGTCAAAAATAAAAACTGCAATCAAATCTTCACAAATCCTTTCAAGCAACTTAAAACAGTCGCTTATCCCATCTGTTGCGAATTGTGCCAGATTTTATGCTCTTCCCAAAATTCATAAAAGTGGTATTCCTTTCTTCCCTATTGTATCAAATTTAGGCACTGCCTCGTATACGTTAGCTAAATATTTAGTTTCTAGATTTTCAACACTATTAGATAATAACATTTACACCATAAAAAATTCAATAGAGTTTGTAAAAAAAGTTAAAAGCATTTCTCCTAGAAATTTATTCATGGTTTCTTTTGATGTAAAATCGTTACTCACCAATGTTCCAGTGGAGGGTATATTACGATGTCTAGAAATGAGACTTCGCCAATTTCATTTCTCTTGCATCGAGATTGATGAACTAATTTCCCTCATTCAACTCTATATAAAACAAACGCATTTTGTTTTCCAAAATAAATATTACAAGGAAACTGAGGGATTAGCCATTGGAAGCCCCGTCAGTCCCATCCTGGCTGATATCTACATGCATTATTATGAATCAAAATTGTTTGAAACTTTAAACTTCCCGGCATGGTTCCGCTACGTAGACGGTACTTTTACCCTGTTTGAAGGTAATAAAGATGATTTAAATAAAGTTCTTTCAACAATGAATTCCATTGATCCTGGTATTCGGTTCACCTTTGAACTTGAGACTTTCAATTCTCTTCCATTTCTCGACATTTTGGTCACACGTAACACATCCAACTGTACTACGGTTTACTGTAAACCTTCATCGGTGTGCCTTCCACCACACTTCAAATCATGTCATCCAACTAAACAAAGGTTAGCTTCATTTTATTCCTGTGTTTTCCGTGCTCTTCAAGTTTGCTCTTCCAAACTATCTCTTGATGAAGAACTAAATTATTTAAAAGCAGTAGCTATTGACAGGGGCTTTTCACCCAACATTATTAATCAAGCAGTTGAAAAAATTCTCATCTCAACACACCAAAAGGCACGCTCTTGTTTTAGGATATTATAAAAATTCTATTGTCATTCCCTTCTTTCCATCAGTTAGCTATAAAGTTGCATGTATTTTAATAAAATTTAACTTTCGGGTCATTTATTCTCCCATCAATAAAATTCTGAGTTCCATACTCAAGGACCCCATTCTGGATTTGAATTCCTGGGGTATTTACAGGATTCCTTGCCAGTGTGCTTTAATTTACAGTGGTCAAACTAAGAGAGCCTTATAATTTCACATTAAGGAACATGAGGCATATGTTAGAAAAAAGGAAACACAAAAGTCTTCTGTTGTCCAGCATTGTTGGTCCGAAAATTACACTTTTAATTTTCTGCTGCCAAAATTATTCAAAAAACATCTTCTATTAGTGAATTGGATTTTCTAGAGGCATTTCACATTCAAAAAAATCTTTCTGTTCTAGTTAACAACCCTAATTCCAATCCATCTTTCCCTTTAAAGAAATTATGTTTTAGTTCTACTTTCATCAATAGATGGTGCCAGTAGCTTCAGTCTTGTCCGTTCTTTCTTATTTTTTCTTATCTAATCACTATATCTTATCTCATTCATTTGTGCTTTTGCAACTGAGGATGATGGTTCGGTAAAACCACCGAAACTGTGAAAATTTGAAAATATAACGCTGATTTTTGTTGTTTGACTTCTGAATTATGGTTAATGATTCATAAAAGCAAGAACTTGTATGAAAATGCTTCTAAAGTAATTGAAAAATTTTTATATGCACAATTATTGGAAATGCTGTCAATAATTGGATAGTATGGAAAATAGAAATTATTTGCTTGCTAATACACTCTCTTGCAAAAAAAAAAAAAAAAGTGTGTGTATATCTATATATATATGTAAGATAAAATTATATGAATCAGAATTATAATATAATTATAAACATTAATTCTTCCTCTCTATTCTAAAATAGTAATAACTTCTCTGCATTGCGTCATTTCTAGATCACTGTATGGCCCACACAGCTCTGATGACGTAATAATTGGGAACTGAAACTACCTTTGTAAATCAAAACTTTTCTCTTTGGCATGCTTCCATCTTTCATAACTTCAGCTTTTGCTCTCACTGTGCTAAGGTGTAATTTCGCTGGCTTGCTTTCTATCTCAACAATATCAAAAATGTAAATCTTCTGTGGAAAGGCACGATTAGAGTGCCAAGTTATTGTGGCCACAAATATCAGTTGCAAATAAAAATGGAACTAAAACTGCCTCGACTGCCAAGTTCTTTAGATATTACCAAGTTAGCATCACTAGCATACTACGCAATCAAAATCTTCTTCAATATGGGTCTAATCACTACAGTGTTCCGTCTTTTCCTTGTGCTTTTATTATGACATATATATATATGCACCCAGAAAGAATTGAGCTAGAAATCAGCATTAGTATAGTGTTCGAGTATATGAACAAATGATAAAAAACTACTAGGGTGAAAAAGCGTTTTATTTATGCGTAGCAAAACAAGGAATGTAAAAATCAGTAGGTGGTGAAGCTACCCCTAGTAACTGTACAAACCAATACTTGGTTGGGCCAATGAGTATATTAAGTTGCCATCGTCCCTCTGTGGTGGATTGTGCCACAAATAGAGCAACCAGTCAGTGAGTTGGGATGTATTTGTACATGGCTGAATTTGCCTGCCCAATGTGTTCCAAATATATTCAATAGGTGACAGGCCAGTTGAGGACATAAGCATGTCGAAGACATTGTTGAGAAGGTTGTGCTGTATGTACCGGAGAGTATGTCTTAAAGGCATTTTTTGTTACAATATTGTGTATCCAAGGCATCAGCATGGTTGTAAATGCTCATCACTTCCTTTTGCATTCTACCAGCTGCGCACTTCAGATGCACAATTTATCGCTCCAAAATGCTGCAAGTTGGTGCTTCAAGTTAAAGCATTTACACAACTTGCCAAACCACATTTGCATGCCATGTTTTATGGCTCAATTTTTTCTGGGTGCATTTTTTTTTTTTGGCAACAGAGTGTATATAGCTTAGCAAAATAGGAATAAATTATTTTTAACACTTTTTTTAAATGGAAAAGTCCATATACCTCTTAAATATATCACAGTTCAGTTATCAATGTTAGAAAAATTAAAAAAGACAGCTACCTGATGAAATGTTCAGTCATGTTAAAGTATGGTCATTGAACCAGTTTGTCCATTTTCAGAATTTTGTGACCATCTCAAGGTACCAGTTAGCTATAGCTATTGTATGTAGCCAAAAATTATCATTCCTTAAAACAAATGAACCATATATGGTGGCAGTAAATGATCTTGGATGATTATAAAGGACTTCATTTTGACCTTTGAGAATATTCAGATTTACCAACAAGCGCATATAAGCCAACATGTATTTTCAGCGATACCCTCCAAAACCAGGATAGTAATGAATTTCAAGTAAATTTATCTAAGACCACCAGGAGTTATGGAGTGCTTTGTCACTAAATCTAATCTAACTGACCCTTAAAATGTCTGTCACAAAGGTTGCTGGTCTTTGATAATATATATATATATATAATTGATGAGTAAATCAAACTTACAAATAACACACAATGGGTAAAGATAACTTTTAACTCGAAATGAAACAAATGAGGGTATAAGAATAGTTGCCGCTTATGAAATATCTAGTAGAAGAATATTGCTCTGATGTTATTTCTACAGTATCTGTTAACAACTGTTAGAAAACAAGATCCATGTTAGATATGTCTTGTGTTTTTTAAAATAACACATTTTAATTTCAAATGGCAAGACACATTTTTGTATCAAATTTATCACTACTGTACTTACCCAAGATTTTTATGAATTTTTTTTTCTGCTTTAAGATATTAAAGAACTTCCAGTTTTTAATAACTCTACACCCATCTCAAAGATTAAATTATTTAGTTTATTATGTTAAGTTCTATTCATACAAATTTTATCAAATGAAAAATTACATCATGTAAAACAGTAATATTTGATCCTTATTGGTTATTGTATTTTTAGCCTATTCTTAGAGATGCAATTGAAAAGAAACCTGACGTATGTGAAAGTGAAGCCCGGGATCTACTGAAACATTGTGTGCGTATCTTGTATTATAGGGATGCAAGATCCTTCCCTAAGGTAATGTATTTTAATTTGATGGAATTTGCAATTTAAGAATCAGCATATTACATTGTTATATTTCTCCATTTTCAATTCTTTTCTTATTTAAAATTTTGAATGAATAAAAATCAGGAGGAAAATAGGTCTGCTCTCTTCACTGCGTGTGGCTTCGTACTAATGAACTGAATAATTTCATGATTTTAAACATGAACACTTCTTTTACATGTCAGTCAGATATGAAAATGACTACTGCCTGTTTTCTTTTGTAGGTTGTTGTTAACCCCTTCCCTGTTTTGCCCATACGCCGTACAGGCACAGGTTTCGGGCAATCTGATTTCTATTTCGCTTGCACTGTTTCGACCGTATTTTTTTCAATTTTAGTAACAAATTATTCGTATAGATGGGGATAGTTGTCCAGTAAATGATAGTTTGCAGTTTATTGTCTAATTGGTTCAAAAGCACGGGTTTTTTCGCATGTTTTGTATCAGAAGACAAATTGTTATCTATCAGTGTATAGCTTTCTGGCTATATTTTACTAACCGCCTGATAATTGTATTGATGTAAGAGTTGAATAATATATTTTTACTTTTAAATAATGGATAATTTAGAGCGTATGGAGCTAATTTCTTGTGATTCGAACTGTGACTCGGAATCAGAAACTGAATTATCTGTAAATGATAGTAGCGAAATTTTACTAGATGACCTTGATAGTAGTATAGATGAAATCAGTCAAGCAAGACAATTTTTTTAAAATTAGTTGTGATAATCCTTCGGATTCGCCTTCAAGATTTGCTTTCACTGGAATTCCAAAAATTAACTTGGATATCGATGAGACTAAAGGTAAACTTCAGTTCTATGATGCTTTCATAGGCGATTATTTGCTTGACCTGATTGTTTTTGAAACAAATAGATATGCTGAGCAATGCATAAAAAACAGTACACTTCGTAGGCATTCCAGGAGCAAAAAATGGACACCAACATCGAAAGATGAATTACATGTGTTTTTTGCTTTGAATATTCTGCAAGGTATTGTAAAAAAGCCAGTTGTTGAGCAGTATTGGAGCAAGAGGCATTCAACATCCACGCCATTTTTCCCAAAAGTGATGTCATATCGCCCTTTCAGTTAATTTACAGTTTTTTGCATTTTTCAGATGATGTCAATTTTGACATAAATTCTCATAAGTGTCCAAAATTATCAAAAATATGGCCCGTGCTAAAGCATTTAAAAACTCGTTTCGAAAAAATGATCATCCCTGAACGTGACGTTACCCCTAGAACGAGATTTTACCATTGACTTAGAGACACCATAGAGTCTTATGTTATTCAGTATAGCTGTAAGGCTAAGTTGGAAACAGTATATTCCTCTAAAGCGATCACGCTTTGGAATAAAATTGTACATGCTTTGTGAGTCGAAGTCTGGATATGTATGGTCTATGATAATATACACCGGAAAAGGAACTGTGTTTGATGAAAATTACAAACATTTGAGCAAATCTTCGCAACACTTATGCAACCACTATTATTACACTTATGCAACCACTTTTACATAAAGGATACTGTCTGACAACTGACAACTTTTATTCATCTCCTGAAATAGCAGATATCCTCATTAGTTACTGTACAGATATGTACGGAACATTAAAACTTCAAAGAAAAGAAGTTCCTAAAGTTTTTGACAAAAAAAACTTCAAAAAGGGCAAATGCTTGCTTACCAGAGGGGAAAAGTGTGCATTATGAAATGGATAGACAAAAAAGCCGTGTCTCTCATATCTACAATACATAATCTGGAAATGGTTCAAGTATCCACTTTGACGAATGAAATTAAACGAAAACCTAAAGTAGTTATGGAGTATAATAAATAACACAATGGGTGGTGTAGATCAAATGGACCAGAACCTAAGTAATTATCCTGTAATAAAGAAACGAGGAAAGAAATACTACAAAAAAAATAATTTTTCATCTTCTAGACATCTGCTTATGGAATGCTTATGTTTTGTATAAAAAGCACGGCGGTAAAGATACGAATTTATAGTTTCGATTGGAAATTATCGACCGACTTATTGAAAGGCATGCTGCAGTAGAAGAAAGAAAAGGCCGTCCTGGATATTTACCAACTCCATTAAGACTAACTAACAGAAGGACATTTTTTAGAGGTTATTCCACCTACAAAGAAAAAACTAAGACCCGCAAGACAGTGTTATGTGTGTTCATTGAAAAAAAAAAATGACAACGACAAAAGAATTAGAAAAGAGACAAGGTATTTTTGCCCAGAGTGTGATGTTGGACCGTGCCTGTCGCCTTGCTTTAAGATATATCACACTAAATCAGATCTTTAAAAAAAGAAGAGTAAGCATGTTTTGTATCAAAACATAATAGTAAATGTAATTGAATTAAAATCGAAAATATCTGTAAGTAATTGTACTATTTTAATTGTAAATGTAACTTCCCCGTTTTGCATTCACGTAGGAAAAAAAAACAACTTGCAGGGAAAATTGATTATTTTCATTAAAGAAATAAAGTTGCAATAAATGCTTAAAAATATTAGAAATGTTAATTTTAATAACATATCTTTACTTAAAAATGTAAAATGAACAAAAAATGCAATAAAAAATTGTGACATTTTTTGACCGAATTCTGGAAAAAAATGAAACTGTCAAAGGGTTAATGAGGTTTCTCTTAACAGTTCAATGCTAACTGTGCCAACTAGTTGTAGAGTTATTAAGTCCAGTAAATGCTAATGGTTAGGATTCTGAGTTCTGTTAACATCAGCATTGCATGAGTATTTTATACTTTCTCGGATGCGGATAGAAGCTTTTATTATTTATTATTTTCCAACTAGGGTGAATTATGAGAGATTTTTTCATCTTTCTCTGTTTCATACTAAAAGGCTGACATATTTAAAATAGTTCTTTATTGCCTTTTCTGAGACTTGGTTTCAGTATATATTTTAAAAAGTATGATACATCAAAGAAGTTAATTTTCTTGCTAACTTTAATCCACATCTTTCATATTTTGAAGGATTCTAGCACATAGCTCAAGGAATTAAATCTTACCATGTTTTGATAATCTCTTGATCACATGATGAATTAAGAATGTGCACTTGCTGGAAGAAATAGAGTGTGTTTAGACATTGTGACTGCTGATGAGACAGATTGATTTTTTAGTTTATTTTCTTTTTAAAACCCATTCATTAAAAATTGCTAATGCCATCCATGTCAAGTCATAACATTTTAATAGATCAGCTTCATTTATTTATTATTAAGCTTGTTATGCATTTGCATAATTTTAAAATGTTCAAAAATAATGACGGGGATTGAATTTAACAATGATTACCTTCAACCCCCCCCAAATAAATCTGCTTTATTTTGGTTTTGAAATAAACGTAATGTTGAGAGGCAGTCTGATCATATCAAATATTTTTTTTGTTTCTTTTTATAAAACAGAGAAGATTTTGGCAGTTCAATAACTGTATCATAATGTTAACATTTACTACTGTTACATAATCTTTTAAGCATTTTTCTTAGTTCTGGTATTATTTTTGTTAATTGCTCTGATGAAACAAACCAATAAACACAGACCATTTTTTAGATAAATATTAAGGTTCCATTTAGATGAGAATTTTTGACATTGCTGTTCCAAAATTTAAAAATAATAATTAGATTTTTTGATATCAGTGTATATTAATTTCATATTAATCAAAAATCATACTGCTTAACTCATTTTATTGGTGTTGGGGCTTTATTAAAGTATTATTATGTTTTCTCATGTTTGTAAATTTCATGGCTAAATTTTTATGGGACTCCATCATTAAAACAAAAGATGTAAATTTAATTGAATTCAGGCCCATTTACAATATAAACTATACATTTCGAGTTTCCAAAATATGAATTTATTATTTTGTTAAATTATTCTGAGGAACAGTTTGTTCTGAAAAAATTGCTTACATAATTTCAGTGTACTTTTTTTTTTTTTTTTTTAGTTTTACTTTTTAATAAATAGCATAAGTTATATTGTTAGGTATAAACAATTCACATTATTTGTTCAGAATTGCCAGTAATTTTTCTGTGTGCAACTGATTCTTCAAAAATTATTTTATTTTTAGTACACTTTGGGCCTAGTGACTAAAGAAGGTGTAAGAATCGATAGTCCACTGGAGATTGATTCTGACTGGACTGTAGGAAAACATATTGTGTAAGTACTTTTTTAAAATTCTTTTGCCTATGAACTACAATCTTCATGATGAACTGATGTTTTAAAGTAGTCAATAATAATTCACCAAAAATTTGTTGTAATGTTAAAATCTTCTTATGGTTTAAATATTAAATTATTGTGAATTAAATTGCTCATTTCAAAAGAATTTGTCAAAGTAATCATTAAAAATCTCCTACCTCCTAATAAATATAAATTGAACAGTATAATTTTTAACTTGGACTTAAGATGATTCAAACAGGATTTTATGCTTTCTCTGTCATTAACCCCTTAAGGACCAGCGGCAGGAGAACGAAATGCAGTCACGTGACCGAACCCGCTGAATCGGATCGCCGCCGCCGGCCCGCGTATTTTCAGCAGTTAAGCCTAATTTTACAAACAAAATCATATAAAAGCATTTTGATATTATGACTTCAATTTTTGAAGTTGCATATTTAATGTATTTGTTTTTAATGTGTATTAATATAAAGAATATCACATTAATAGAAATACTTCTCCTACCTTTATTATTTTTCCGTCAACGTAAATTTTCAGAAACTGTCTTTCAGTTAGACGGAAAGGTATAGTGTTCAGTGATTTTGGACATATTTTTAAGTTTTTAAGTAAGGTCTCTTATCCATGGCTATGAATAAGAGACCTTACTTAAATGAATGTAACTGAATATAACCCCGACACATGTCCCAAAACTTCTTCAAAAGACACCCAGAAATATATCATCCTCAAACCCTGTGTGACATCAGGTTCATATTAGAAAACTTCCTGTTTTTCTAAATCGAAAACAGCATCCATGATGACCGGAAAGTGATCAAGGAAAGACCCCCCACTGGCGGGATATCCGTTACTGATCACATCAATATATACATTATATACCAAAATATAATGCCTGTGTCATTATACATAATGACCATTCAAGGCATTACAAGGCATTACATATAATGAGCTATTAAATCGAGTAAGAAAAACAAAAACGCAGGCTCTTTCCTGAGAAATGTGAGTATAGACGCATTAGGTGTCGAGAAAGTAGTCTTTCCCCTTCTGTAATAATGTTACTTTTTAATTAACCAAGAAAGCTGTTGCAAATATGACTTATTGTAGCCCCTTTTCTGCATCATCTCTCTTCCTTGAAATAATTCTAACGTTTTCATGAGGTTTAGTGTTTATTTTAAAGGGATATAGCAATTATTTCTACTTCATTTTTCACTGCTACTGTTTGTATTAAGAATGGACTGTTCCAGCCTAATTAAGATGCAAAAATGAAACTCGAAGTTACGTCATCTGGAAAGATGGGTCGTGCGGACAGCTGATTGGCTGCTATCAGATGACGTCATATCTACTTCATGTATCTTGCATCGCTCTGGCTTAGTCCTTCTTGTTCTTGTTTTCATTGGTCCTGGTGTGCTGTTCCAGCTCTCATTCGGAGACGTTCTTGTGATGCGTGTCGTCCAGCGTTAAGTGCCTCTTCAGTGCCGTGGTTCCGGGCCATGTTGGTTTTTCCGATGAGCAACAGTGGGCGGCATCCTGTTTCCATGGTTAAGCAGCGATAAATCTCAAGTCGTGGTTCCCGGTGAGCAACTGCCATGGGTGGCATCCTGTTCCAAGGTTAAGTGGCGACGAATCTGAAGTTGTGGTTTCCGGGAGCAACTGCTGAAGGATTGGATTATGGATTATTCAATTATGGCAAAGGACATTATGGCTATCTGCTTAAAGGGAGGGATGCCTTCGTGGAGGACTTTCTAAGGGAAACTGGCTCGTATACATGTTACACATGGAGAAAACCACAAAAACGCCCATGCAGCCAGCCCGTTCGCGGGATCCGAACCTCGTACCGAACTACCAGTGTTCAGCGTCTTTACCGCTCGATCGCTGGTGGGCCAACTGCTGAAGGTGGCATCATTAACACCAGTAGTTTTCAGGTCTAGCGGCGATGTTTTTCCAAGCTGTGATGTGCTGTGAGCAGCCATTCAAGGTTTAATTTTTCAGATGCCTTTTTGGCCAAACGCATAGACTTATTTAGTCGAGTGAAATTCAAATTAATCATGTAGTTTTGTTCTGTGATATGTTTTTCGCGAGTTATTGAATGCCAGCATTCATAGAACAGGTAATATATTTACTGTATCATTAATAGTGTAATATTCTTTAAAGGAAAAAACCTTCGGGTTAATGAATAGTTAACTAAGTGTAATTTTTGACAATGATTATGTTACACTCTTAACTTTAAGTTACTGGTATTGATCAAATTTATTTATTGTATTTTTATTTTTATATCTATATTGTTAAATAAATTGTTTAAGTTTAAAAATTTGTCATCTATGTCTGCACAGCATATAATCTTAGGGTGCTTCTATTGCAATAATTATTTCTGCTAAATGTTTTCTATAACTTTAAACTTTGCTTTTGCATCAAAAGCTTATGTGAAGTTTCAAAATAAATAAATAAAAAAAATCCTAACAAAATAAACAAAAACGCCTGTGCCCCTTTAATTCACAGGCACACTTATAAAGAGCCGTTATTTCCAGTTTGTTTATTTCAATAAATCTCTCAAAACCAGAAGCACGAAACAGAAACTAATGCCAGTACATGAAGGTCAAATGCCGTATGAATCAACCCATGTGGAAACAATTACCACTTAGCTCCATTTACTGGCTTTTAAAAATTCAAATAAATTATTCCTTTTTAATGTCATGTATATGCGGTGCTGGGCTCGTAGGAGCAGAATCGTTGCGTCGTGCATACGGATGCTGGGCTGGTTGGAGTGGAATTGTTGCATCGTGTATATGCAACGCTGGTCCTGAATGGGTTAAGTATAAAATATAAATGTATATTAGTGGTGGATCAGTATAGCAAGGAAATGATATTTCACAAGAGGCAAAATTAAATCATTTGTTGGCATTATGTTGGAAAAGGCCTAGTGTATTTCAGAAAATATTGAGAGTAAAAATTTGAATATTTTAATAATGTATACCAAATGATGAGAATTAGAAGAAACTGCAAATTCAATTTTTTTTGGGGGGGGAGTGCATTACATTTTATCATTCATATGATAAATCATTGAAAGGCTTCTCTTGGGAAATACTACCACTAACATTACAGCTGAGTGAAAACATATTTTTTGTTGCATAGCTAAAAATATTGAAACTAATAGATTTAAAATGATTATACACTTAGAAATACAACTGACAGGTAATATATGAAACTGTTTGTTTAAATAAGGAAGAAAAGTATTAAAGTATGTGATTTCCTTGTTTCAGAACTGAAATCAAGGAAACTCATATCTTGTTATTCTACATTCTTTGTTAATATTTTTTTTTAGTAGTAAAAATATTCTTTATTTTAATGCTATCCTTAAGCTTAGAATTTCTAAATTGATATATATTAAATAAAAAAGGAACATTCTTAATGAATACAGAATTGTGCTCATCCAAAATAAGTCAATTATTTTAAATAATGTTATATTTTATCCTAAATGATATGATATCTGATGACAAATTTAATATTTATGGTTATTTAATATGAGGGTTCATAAAGTATTTTGTATTGCGATAATTCATACATCATTTAATCTTGTATAAGATACTTACTTAGCATTTTAAATCAAAAAGCAATGAATGATATTATAAATTAGAGATTAATTTGATATTATATGTTTATATTTAAATATACAAAAAGTTATGCTAAACCTATTAGTAAATTCATTTGTGTTAATAAAATTATTCTTCTCTTTTTTTTCAGCTGCAGTTAAATTTCTACCCAGTATCTAATATTTTTGGACTTTTTTTCACCGTGTTCTATTTAATATATATTTACATTTTCAATAAACTTTGAAAAATACTTTGTATCTTATTTTCATTAACAAGCAGATTTAAGAAACTAATATACACAATCAGTCAAAATTGAATTTTCGGCTTCACTTATTTAAAAAGAAATTCTGAAATTTTCTGACTGTATTTTTTAATAGCTAATTAAATTATTCATCTTTGAAAAGCTATGTACCAAATTGATAAATATATGAACTGTAACAGTTATTATACTCTTTTGTGTATTGAAGTATGCACAATATAATTTATGAAAACTGCCATAAATTTTCAACAATTTGATGAATGAAAGCAGCCATGCTTTCATCAAGTGTCCAGTCAAAAAAAAAAGTTTAGATTTTTTTTAAATATTATTCAGGTTTATTTTTTATTTATCAAAAATAGACCTATTTTGCAAGGTAGCCAAAAATATTCAAGTTTCTTTTTCATTCAAGTTTTCTTCCATTAATTTAATAACAAACATGCAAATTAAAAAAATATATATATCATAAGTCTTAATCCCTTGCTCTCACACACAAACAAAAATTTCACAAGTACTTGTAAAGTTTTGAAGTAAATATTTGTTGATATTTTTATTTGAAAAATCCTGTTCAGATGTTATGGCAATGACTTAAATACTCAAGGGGTGGGGAATACAGCAAAATCAAAAATAGGTTTATAAAGTATTTCTCCCACTTTCCTAGCGTCCTTCGTAATGTAGTGGTTCCGCATGCTGGGCTGGTATTCCAGAGGTCCATGGTTCGATTCCCGTCAAAGGCAGTTGCTAATTTTTCATTTCTCTGGCTTCCAAAAAACCCTAATGTCTCTACAGGTTAATCATATGTAAAACAACTACTGGCTGGAAAAGTCTGTTCTCATTTCCAAAGAGAGGTTATCACTTGTATCAATATCTAATATAAATACAGAGGAGAGGTGCCAACCTAACTCAAAAACTGCAAGAAAAGAAACTGGGAAAATTATTTCAGCAATCTAAATCATTTTTAAACAAAGCATACAGAAAGAAGCAATTTTTAAGTAATGAGCTAATTCCAAAAAATATCTAATGATTAAGTAAAAGTGCAGTCATTAATTCTTAAATGCAAATTGTATAAAAATATTTGAAAAAGGTGATTAGAAAAAGGGTACCTTTTAACAGAAAATTAACTAATCAGAGTTCATACAGCTGCTTAAAACACTGGTAAGTTAAAAAGGGAGCATCATAATTTTGTCCAAAATGTCATGAAATGTCTCGTGTGTTGATGAGTATGTATGCATTTAAAAGATGTCCTGATATCACAAATACATTGTTTTCTTCAAAAAGTAGTTCAAAGAAAGTTGCATGTATATCGGGTTTAAAGTTCACAAGTAGTTTGCTTTGTATATAAATATAACCAAGACAAAAGTTTGCAAATTCTTGCATCTTTTTGGAAGCTTATGAAATTTGCATTCTGAGTAGGATGCTAAGAAAAGTTTTGATCTTATTTTGTGTTCATTGGCTAATATACGCTTGATGCTGATTGGAAAAGAGGACCATGTTTTCATGCCAATATATCTTGATAAAACATGTCATCTTTGCATATGTAGTCTGCGGAAAGGGCCCCAAGCAGTTTCTGATGGCAAAAATCACACTTTTTGATGCAAATAACAAAATACACTCTCTATATTTATTTAAACAAATTTAAATTTTAACTAACATGTATATATGTAAAAAAGCAAATTTAAAGTTAAAATTAATTAAATTTGTATTTAAATTCAATTTACACACACACACACACACTCTCTCTCTCTATATATAAAACTGAAAAGTTTCAGATTTTAAATTAAATCCAAATGGGCATATCTTTAATGTTTTTGTGTGTTACCTTTATTTATTAAATATCATGTTCTCTGCACTTAAACCATAAAATTCAGTTCAATAGCAATATAGCAAATTAATTCTAAAATGAACCTATCTTTAGAATTTCTGGTGCGGAGACTCATGCGCTGGAGATAAAAATGTTTTTTCTGTGCAACATTGCCATTGCTTGCTTTGAAATCCTCGAGTTTGTTGATTAAAAATTCGTTAAAGTTTTACAAAATATGAAATCGATACACATGCCCATATTCGCAGTAGGATTACGTCATTCAAAATTCGATGGCTCTAGGTACCGTTTTTTTATCACAATGCGAGAAATATACATTTATGCAGATTTTTCAGTATTTAATTTCATCAAATATAATGCAGGACTCTAACATTTGGTGGCAACAGTTTGAAAAGTGGAACAGACATATATAGTGATTCAACACAAAATCGCAAAACAAAAACAATAGTCCTTCAGGGAAAGAGCCCCTTTGGACTAAAAAAAGCAACGCTCCAAGAAGGAGTTGTCTGATGGAGACAAAAATTGGTGGATAGGAGCATTATGTAAAGAATAGAAAATGCTTAAAATTTCAGAACAGTTGAATGATTTATTTCAGAGTTACATAATTGCAAATTAACAAGCTAAGATTTTCCTTTAGCCTGGATGCATGCTGCCACACGGTATCAGGGTTCATAGCCACATTTTAGTTGAAAAAATAAGCACCTATAAGCACTTTTCAAGCACATTTTAAGAAAAAAAAAAAAAATAAATAAAATAAGCACCTGTCTAATTACATTATACACAACTGCATAACCTTAAAAATTAGACTTGTAATTTAAAATATGAGAAATGCAGTATTTATTAAGAGAGAATAAGCATTACCTCAACCATGGAAAATAATTACTTTTTTTTTTTTAATTTTAAATAACAGTTCAATTTACAGAACTAGTTTACGAGAGGAAAAAAAAAAAACTATGCAGAACTAAACTATATTACAGATTTTTTTAATGATGAAATTTCAGTTCAAAATAGAGAAAATAAATAATAATAAGGCATATTTATTGTATTCACTTGGAACCTAATAATAAATACAATTTATTTTTCCACTATATTGATATTTAAATCTAAATTCTGAACATTTTTCTAAATTTTATTGTATATCAGTTTTTCCCTTAACAGATATTGCAAGCAAAGAAATTAAGTAACAAAGAGGAATATTTCTGAAATCAGAAGACAGAAAGAAAATTGCTTCATGCAGTAATCCTTTAACAGTAAAAGCTTTAACTAACCGCATACTTGGAAATTGGCGAATATTCGGACAGTCGAGCGTAACTTGAAAAAGAGGAGAGGAGGGGGTGACTGTAGCCACTCTTTAGATTTTTCCGCTAAATAAATGCTTTTAACATTTCGATATGTGCATCATATAAAAAATAAACCAATGGAACTGAAAAATATTCTGCTTAGCAAAGACAGTAAAACTCTTTTAAGTGTTCATAAAGAAATCTTGGACAGAACATCACAATTAATTATATCTGCAAAATATCGCAAAAGTTATTGCGCAATACGTGTGCCCTAATTCTTCTCTATGTGATATTACGCAATCGGAATCAACAGCTGCGGGTATTAGGAGAATAAAGAACCAAATAACTAGGGTGTTTTTCATTCTAATTTTCAACAGACGGCATAAAATTTCCAGAATAGAATCATTCTTCGCTTGGGTTAGTAGACCGCAGAACTTTTAGTCCTATTCAATCCAGATTGGAAATTGACCAAAAAAAAAAAAGTCTGTTGCTTGTTTTGCAGTGAACTGTAACAGTTTTAATACTCGAGATTTTGCGGAGAAAGGGGAGAACCTCCCAATCTTCGTACTGCATAATGTATTGACAAAAAAAAAAAAAATTATTTTGACTACTCGATTACTTTCCCTTTTCCCTTTATATAAGCCATTCCGAATATTATTCCTTAGAAAGCTAATCTGTGTTAAAATACAACCATTTTTGAAAGTTTACTATACTTCAGCAGTTACCGCAACTACGTTATTATAAACATTCATACATATGCTCATAATATAAGCATAACGATTGTAATAAACACGAATATGAACTGACCAAGCGGACCGAGAATGCAAATTATTAAGATCTTGATAGAAATTCAAACGTGTGTAGTATTTGGGTGGGAGGAAAAGAATGCCGAATGTACCGAAATTTTCTACTGCTTTCGCATTTCTTTGACCAATAGAACGACGGGCACCTGTCTGTACTCTTCGTGCACACCAAAGGTTATGTTAATGCAGAGAAAGGGGGGAAAGCTATTTCCGGGAGTATGATTCACCATCTGACATTCCATATTAGGAAGAAAAGTTGTTTATTTAGTTTCGGCTTTGGTACCGGGAAAAACAGCGCGTTCATTAAAAAAAAAAAAAAAAAAAAAAAAAAAAAAAAAAAAAAGCACTAAAAGCAAAAAAATAAGCACAAAAAATAAAAAAATAAGGGCTTTAAAGAAAAAGTAAGCACCTATAAGGGCCTTTATATTTTATTTTCAAATATAAGGACTTATAAGCACTTTTAAGGACCGCTATGAACCCTGGGTATGGCATAAACTGATAAAGCTCCCGGATGGTCTCCTGCGGTATTTCTTGCCAAATTTGCTTCAGTTGTCGGGCTGTGTCATCATCTGTCTGGTAGATGCAGTTGCCTTCCCATCATATCCCAGACATGCTCAATGGGAGAGAGATCTGGCTGGCCAAGGAAGTGTTTGACAAGCTGTAAGACAGCTCATAGCAACATGTGCCATATGTGGTCTGGTACTATCTTGCTGAAAATAAGGCCAGGGTACTGCAAAACAGTGCCTCTAATGACGACCAAAGGGGTCCGGCTATCGAGGGAAATAGCATCCCTGACCATAACTCCTGGTTGAGCTCTTGTATGGCGTGCAATAGTGAAACTAGGATTGGCACGCTGCTTTGAGCGTCTAGACACATCTTCGTTGATCGTCACGACACAGTTGGATTCGTCGTTAAAGACTATACATCCCCAGTCAACCTCATTCCAAACTGATCGAGCCAAGCACCACTGTAATCTGGCTCAACAGTGTGCAAGCGTGAGTGGCAGCGAGCGTAGATTTCGCTGTCAGCCGTCTGTGAATGGGTCATGGTGCACACTCGGATGCGGGCCGCACATCTGATGGTCAATAGTGATGAATCAGGCGCTGTGACAGCCAATCTGACAATCACTCTATCCTCCCGATCTGTTGTGGCCCTAGGTAAATCGCTACCATCATGATGCTGAAATTTGCCATTGTCCACTCATTCTTGCCAACATCTTCTAATTGGCGCATCGCTTCGACTCATATGACAAGCAATTCTCTGATTTGCCCATCCTGCCTCTTCCTATTCAATGATACGGCCGAGCGGTAACGTCGCTGGACACTGGTAGTTCGAATCCTGTGAATGGGCTCGATGCATGGGCGTTTTCGTGGTTTTCCCCATGTGTAATGTGTATACGAGCCAGTTTCCCTTAGAAAGTCCTCCACGAAGGCATCCCTCCCTTAAGGCAGATAGCTCTCGAGTGCTTTGACGTAATCTAATAAACCAAACCAAACCTATTCAATGATATGACTTCTTTCAAACGCTGACAGTTGCTCGTAATGAGTTCGAATCCTGCAGCGAGGCAGTTTTTCAGTCATTGAAAGGTATCCTAAATCACAATGCAACATAAGTTTTTTAAAAAAAAAACAGCTCCTTATATACATCTGCTGGATGTGCAGTTCCAATGCGCTGGAGATCACACTATTCATTCACTGGACACCAAATTTTAATCATTTGCATATTCGGTCAAAACATTTATGCATACAAAATTTCAAAGTAATCGGATGATTCTTTCTTGGTTCGTCGATTTTTTTGTTATTGAGTGTACTAAGCCATGATCCATAAAAATTAGGAGAAATTTTAAGAATAAGAAAAGTTGGAAGAAATACATTGCAAAGCAAGAGTATGATAAAACTACAAATCTTCTGCTTAAATTAGGAGAGATGGCACTTATGTATATACATCATTAATAAATGAAGATATTAACTCTTAAACTATCAAAAGTATTCATAAATACATTATACATTTTTGTCACAACACATTTTAACTGTTTTCAAAGAGTAAAATGGTATTTTCTCATTTTCAAAAATTGAATTTCATATTAATATATATAGTTAAACTAATGCTTTTAAAATACTTTATTAAAAAAAAAATCAAGACTCAGTTTTCAGACATATACATTTCATATCGCATCTAACGTCTTTTCTTTTTATTGCCTTTCTTTGCATTTTGAACATTTTGTGACTGATCACTTCCACCTTTGTTCTGAGTTCTACTCTTCAATTTTGGAATTGTTTCAGCGACATACAAAAGGATAGCTTTTCCTGTAATAAAAAGAAATGATAATTCTAAAATCTATGCATAAAGTGTTCTACAGAGGATACAAAATCTAAAATTAAATAACTGGAAAATGGAGATTGACTGTAAGAAGAGGTACATTTTAAAAATTTATATTAATTAATCTATTATCTTTTTGTCGCTTCTGCTGCTTATTTTGTCAACACTTACCAAGATATAATTAACTATGTGTATATAAGGACAGAGTTCTTGAAATTTAAAGAGAGAGTTATAGTAATGATGCAGACTATTGTAGTATTTCTTAGCCCAACTCTAAGTTATTTAACCCTTTTGCAACAGCGCACCTTTTTTAAGATGCACATGTGGGACGAAAGTGAATCGAAGACAGTCACAGTACAGGACGGAGAGGTTTTGCATTGCTAAGCCTAATTTTATAAAAAAAAAAAAAAAGTTTTGCTTCTAGCATTTAATTTTTGGTATCATTTTAGATTATTACTTGAGCTGTTATATATGTTAAAATTAGTACTTAATAACTTTTCTTTATTTTACATGAAAATATACTTAAAAAATTGCTTATCTTGTAAAATAATTTTCGGAAGCGCTATTCAAATTATTCCTAAGTTTTAATTGATGAAATCCATTAATAAAGTTTAAAATTATTAAAACAACACAATAAAGACTATTTACAGTAAGAAGTAACAAAATTTAAAATGAAGACTGAGTGTGGTAAATCTCGAAGAACGGAGAAGTATCACTTTCTAACTCTTAGAAAAAGTATCACTTTCTAACTCTTTAGAAAATGAATCATCACTCATTTGCATTAGTAAAGTAAATGGTTCACTAACCATATGAGGGTATTCTTCCTCTGATAAATAGCCCCTTCCCACCATAATAGACTGGAGGTGAGGCTTTCCTAAATGAAAAGAGAAGGAACGGAAATATATCTGAAGGCCAATGCAAAACGTAAAAAAACTCCACACAGTAACCCTTGTAATGTATTTTGCAGTAATTTACAAACAGACAATCTTCTTAGTAAAACATAAATTTTATTCTAGTTCACGGTGATAGACAAATTTTATACAATTCTTAAGTGGCAAAATTTTCATACTACTGCTAGCTGTTAAAATCTTCAGAATTCTAATCTTTTTAAAACAATATCTCACGTTACTGAGTAATGGTTTAATACAAATATGGCGTTGCCACTTCAACAATAATTATATTTATTTATTAAATAACAAGATATTAGAACCTCTCCCCCCTCCTTATAAATTAAAGTTTACAGGTTTTTTTTTTTTTTTTTTTTTCAAAACAACAATATCAGCACAATACAGAATTGAAATACAAGATATAACATACACTGAGAAAGAGAGGAAGGAACAAAATATTTTTTTTATCTATTTAGAGAAACAAAATATTTAATCAGGCCAGTGAGTACGACTTAATGCGTCTACATTTTTATGGTTTTTACCATTTCGATGAACGATTGTGTAATTGTAGGGTTGTAGTACTAGTGCCCATCTCATAAGCCGTGGATTTAGACTCACATTATTTGTGAGCCAAACTAAGGGATTATGATCGGTCATGATGAGGAATTTAGTATGCCCGTCTAAATAACATTGAAGTTTCTTTACAGCAAATAGTATTATGGCGGCGCATTCCATTTCTGTGGTAGAGTACTTTCTTTCAGTTTGTGTAAACTTCTACTGAGGTATAATACTGGATGTTCATTTTCTCGCTCATCTTTTCGAGCTAAAATGACACCCATACCAGAGTCCGAAACATCAATTTTCAAAACAAACTCCTTATTAAAATCAGGTGACTGTAATAGAGGCTTTTGCTGCAGTTTTGCTTCTTCAACAACACGCTCTTGTCTTTTAGTTTCTTTAAAAACTTCTCCTTGACTGGCATCTCAAATCCAGAACTTGGCAATTCATCTGGAGCTTTTAACCGAGAATCGTTTAATTTTGTCAGTTCTTTCTTGGAGATGAACCTTTGTTCTTATCTGCTGCTTGCACTCTCATTGAATGGGGCAACTTTGAGTATCCTTTTTCATGTTTGTGCCTCTTTGCTAAGTTTTCTGACGCGTGAATAGATTCTAAACGTATTTTTAATTTCTTAGCTTTAGAAGCACCTTCATAAGTTCTTTTATCAGAAGTTCTTTGATCTGCTGTAAAAAAAGCTGTCAAACACATCTTTGCTTTTTGGAGAAGAAGGAAGTGGGGAACTTGTAGGGCAATACTCATATACACTATCCACAGAAAATGAATCACCAGGTAAATAGGTGTGAGTCACTTCCATATAAATAACTTCAGTTTTCTCATCAAGAGATGACACTTAGATTGTTTATCAGATTTCTGTGAAGCATTGCAAAAGCCTGACTTTTAGGAGGGTGAGTATGACCAAATTACCCTGAGTTTTAGCACTATTATTTGTTTGGTTCTGAATCAAAGTTGTGTAGTTCTGCATTTGATCTCTATTTTTCAGGAATAACAATTAATTCCCTTTCCATTTCCATTTTTATCTAATTTTTTTTTTCATAAACAGCCCGTTCTCCTTTACTTTGAAAATTATTTCCCAAATTTTCACTTTTAGCTTCGCTAAGCATTGAGATTAGATCTCTGCTTAGATGCTGAGATTCAATTAATTCCTTTGAATTAGCATTAATTATTTTCTTAATTTCCTCGTCTTTCTCATCAGCTTGCGGTAAAATATCTTCGCCAGTGTCGATAAACGTCAGTTCTTCTAGTTTCTCTATTTCGATCTTCTTCACGAGATCTTTTTACTTGAGATCGTGTCAAAACTGCATTAATTTTTTCTAAATTTAAGAACTGTTTATCTTTGAACAACTGAGCAGTTTTGTTACCCAATACATATCTGCCAGGATCATTTGTAACAACAGCTGCCTTTGTTTTTATATGACCAAGTTCACAATTAATTTCAACTTTAGCTAATGGTAGACACACTAAATGGTCATTTAAGAGATATTGTACCCAGACATGTCTCCAATCATTTTTGCTTTATCTACGTATTTTCGAGAAATAACATCAACAGTGGCTCCTATGTCTTCGAAGAATAGGCATTTCATACCCATTAACTAAACCGTTAATTGTATAAGTCATCATGTCAAAGATATCAAATCATCATTCAAAGATACACAATTTACCTTTTCATTTGGTTTTAAGCGAGAGGCACTGAGGCTTAAAATGTTCGTATGACCCACACTCGAAACAACGTGGTCGATATATCTTTGTCATATAAATTTTCTTGGTTTTTGTTTTCGGAACTGATTCCTTTGTTCGATGATCTTTCTTAGTAATTTTGAATCATCCCATCTATCAGAATGCTTAAAATGAGGCGGATGCTCTATTTTTTCACAAAATTATCGGAACGAGGTTTAAATGATCCTTTGTTAAATCTCTCAGTTTGACTGGCAGAAAATTTTCGGTTTTATTGTTTTTCTCACATCTTCAAAATTTTCAAGTTTTCTTAACCATTCAGTAGGTGAAATTATGGTTGTCCATTGATCCATAAATGTTTTGAATCAGAGAAGTACGCTTTTTTATTTGATCAACCAGCATGAGATCTTTTAGCTGTTCAAAAGTTTTAATGTTTAATCCGTTAAGCCTCCAAATCAGGAGAAGTACGCTTTTTAATTTGATCAACCAGCATGAGATCTTTTAGCTGTTCAAAAGTTTTAATGTTTAATCCGTTAAGCCATCCTTCTAAATAATTTTTTAATTCATAGTAGAAATCATACCAAGTACTTTCAGCAGATTTTTGGTGTTTATTAAATAGTTGTCGAAATTTTTCCGCACTCAATTTAAATCGTTGTAACAGTAAAGATTTTACATATTCATACTTTTCGCGTCCGTTCTGGTTCTCTAGCAATAGCTGAACAATGTCAGGAGGCAGCAATGAAATAAGTTGAGTCACTTGATTTTCAGCAGGTATATTCTTATTTTAGCTTGATGCAAATAACACCAGGAATAACTTATTCATCTTCTTTAGGGTTGAACGTGGCATGACTCATGAATTCTGATTTTAAAGGCTGCTCAGGTAACTGCGTAGTTTCTACCGGCTGTGCTGTGGAGCCATTGCTTCCAGCTGAAGTTCTGTAGCCAAAGGTATAATTCGCTCTTCTCTTTCAAGCTCTTCTTTTCTTCTTCTCTTTTGCGTTTCTCTTCTTTCTTTTCTTCTCTTTCGCATTCTTTTTCTCTTCATTTTCTTTTCTTTCCTTTCTTCTCTAATTGCAGCCAGTAGTTCTCGAGTAAATTCCTCATCATATTGGGACTTCGTAATCAGTTATGCAATTGAGCATCTTAAATTCAGGTTTCACGGTTTAAACCTAACTCTTCTGCGAGTACTTTTAAATCCTGTTTTTTTTTACTCCTAGCTAAGAATGACATGTTGACAACAAGTACTTATTAGGCTTCTTTTGAAATTGAATCTAAAAGATGACTTGTACAAAATGATAATTCTGGCGAGACTTATTTCTCAAATACGAAATTACACAACCAATTGGAGAGATATTTTAAACAACTTGCTGGCTGGCACAAAATACTATAATACTACATCAGGGGTGACGTTTTAACTCACTATTCACAAGCCTCGTTAGCTATAACTATATAAAACACCTTGCCAGTTAGGCAATACAAGGAATTTTACCATGTCAGTTTGACGATTTTACTATCCACTCCCCTCCGGTTGGCGATAACAAAAACAATTTTTGCCAGTTTGGCAATACAACTTTTAGAATATACAATCTGAATACGCCGGGTGGGACGTTAATATCTACCACACGCCTGGATGCGAGAACTAAGAAAAAATCTTTGCCAATTCAGCAGTATAATCCAATCAACTACGTCAGTTTGACGTTATTACTTATTTTTCATTGTGCCTGCTTGGCAACAAATTCAAAATCAGCTAGCAGTTTTTTTTTTTTTTTATTAAACGCGGGATGGCTTACACATATCAATTATCAAATAAAATTTCAATACAAATAAAGTAAAGCAAAATAATAATTTTAAAATACTTCTTACCACAATACCAATTATAAATTTAAACTGAATTTTTAGCGCCAGTTATTTTAAACAAAATCTTACACGATAAACTATAATTTGAAAAAAAGTATTAAATTCAAAAAGTTTTTTAAGAAAAACCAAAAGTTAATCTTATCTTCAGAGATCTTAGTATCCTGTTTTGACAGATTTTGCTCGGCGCAAGTTATAGAAGACAGAAATAACTTTGAATGATTCCTTAAATCTGGCTTTAAAACGACAGACTTCTTACATCATTTATCCTTGAAATAAACAAACTTGGCAATTGGTATTAGCAAACTTGTTCTAAAAAATTCAGTAAATTTCTGGGATAGGAGACCAGCACATCAAAATTGATAATTGCACTCCTAATTTCCAGTATCTCGGGGAACCTCATTAATTAAGACTGTAATGTATTTTGCAGTAATTTACAAAACGACAATCTTCTTAGTAGAACATAAATTTTATTCTAGTTCACGGTGATAGAAAATTTATACAATTCTTAAGTGGCCAAATTTTCATACTACTGCTAGCTGTTAAAATCTTCAATTCTAATCTTTTTAAACATATCTCACGTTACTGAGTAACGGTTTAATACAAATATGGCGTTGCACTTCAACAATATATATTTATTTATTAAATACAAGATATTATACCTAAAAGACCGTACATAGAAGAGGAGAAAAATAGAATAAAAAAAGGAATTGGATATAAATCAGACATGCAGCGATTTAAAGAGCACACCTCCGTTTACGCTTCCCCCCCTCGCAACAGCTGATGAGTAAAAAACCAAGGTCAAGCAGAATATATCAAACTCAAGGTCAGGAACCTAAACCTGGGTTCATTTCAAAAGTAATAGACATAAGATGC